ATACGTGGACACAAGGGATAGTTGACGATGATTATATCTATCTATATCTATATTTATGCCTGCTGTTATACCTTTGGCAGGACCCACTATTTTTGTGTGAATATAGGTGTGGCAAGGCAATAGATATAGATACACACTACACAGACATATATGCCTGCTTGCACACCTTTGACATGGCCCACTGTTTGTGTGTGAGTGTAAAACACACAAACACACACATGTATGCCTGTTTGCACACCTCTATCTATCTATCTATCTATCATCTATCTATCTATCTATCATCTATCTATCTATCTATCTATCTATCTATCTATCTATCTATCTATCTATCATCTATCTATCTCTATATATCAGAGTGTGGTGAAAGCTTCTTCTTTGGAAACTTTTCAACAGAGGCTGGGTGGCCACCTGTCAGGAGTACCTTGTGCTTTTCCCGCATGGGAGGGGGTTGGACTAGATGGCCCATGTGGTGTGTTCCAACTCTATTATTCAATGATTCTATGTATGTCTGCTGAGACACCTTTGGTATGACCCACTGCTTTTGCATGTATGTGTGTGTGTGTGTACACACACACACACAAATATACAAAGACAAATTTATTGTTGAAGGCTTTCATGGCCAGAATCAATGGGTTGCTGTGCGTTTTCTGGGATGTATGGCCATGTTCCAGATGCATTCTCTCTTGATGTTTCACCCACATTTATGGCAGGCATTCTCAGAGGCCGTGAGGTCTGTTGGAAACTAGACAAGTGAGGTTAATATGTGAAATGTCCAGAGTGGGAGAAAGAAGTCTTGTCTGTTTGAGCCAAGTGTGAATGCTGCAATTGGCAATCTTGATTAGCATTTAATGGACTTGCAACTTCAAGGTCTCGCTGCTTCCTGCCTGGGGGAATCATTTGTTGGGAGGTATTAACAAGCCTTTGAGAATGGCCAGTTCTAGCTCTGCCCCAAAAATTGTTGAATATGGTCTTGTACTTCCTACCTATTACCCTAGTCATCCCTCCAATTGGCCCTGGAAATGAGCAGCCACAGACCCGCACATGCTATTGTGGTTAATCTGTTATAGCACTGTACTGAATTCCCGGTCCCCTCATATTTTTGAGTTTGCACAAGCTTCGGGCCAGCCTTTTAATTGCTCTAAACAGGCAGGATTATTTTTAATATATATGTGTTATTGTGATAATTTTATGCGTATGTTGTTTTGTTAATTTTATGTCATGCTGTTTACTCTGTATGTTTTGGTGATGTTACTTTGGAAACCGCTCTGCATCCCCTTCGGGGAGATAGAGCAGTATATAAATAAAGATGATGATGATGATGATGATGATTATTATCTGGCCCTGATTAATTCTTGTCTGGAATTCCCCTGTTTTTTGAGTGTTGCACATTGAGGAGGGGAGAAAGCTTCTCTCTGGCTGCTGCAGGCATGAAGGTTTAAAGCAGGGACCGGATGGCCATCTGTTGCCATTGCTGTTGTTTATTCCTTCAGTTGCTTCTGACTCTTCATGACCTCATGGACCAGCCCACGCCAGAGCTCCCTGTCAGCCATTGCCACCCCCAGCTCCTTCAAGGTCAAGCTAGTCACTTCAAGAATGACATCCATCCATCTTGTCCTTGGTCGCTTCACTTCCTTCTTCCTTGTATTTTCCCCAGCACCATTGTCTTCTCCAAGCTCTCCTGTCTTCTCATGATTTGGCCAAAGTACTTCACCTTTGCCTCTAATATCCTTCCCTCCAGTGAGCAGTCAGGCTTTGTTTCCTTGAGTATGGACTGGTTTGATCTTTTTTTTAAAAAATGTTTAACTGCAACCCAGCTTTGCACTTTCTTCTTTCACCTTGATTAGAAGGCTCTTCAGCTCCTCCTCACTTTCAGCCATCAAAGTGGTATCATCTGTGTATCTAAAGTTGTTAATGTTTCATCCATCAATTTAAACTCCAGCCTTGGATTCGTCAAGCTCTGCTAACAAGTTTAAATACTGGAAAGTATGTCACATTGGAGTATGGAGGGCAAGCTTCTTTCCTGCTGCTCCAGGCATGGAGCAAGGGGGTCAATTTTGGGAACAGAGATTAGGAAGAACTTCCTAATTGTAAGAACTGTTGGGCAATGCAGTATGCTGCCTGGAAGATGTGGAGTCTCCCTCACTGAAGGTTTAAAGCAGGGACTGGATGACCATCTGTTGCCATTTTGCTTTGAGGCAGTTGTGGCAGTGGCCGGGAGAGCTTTTGCTCAATAAAACTTGTGCGCCATCTGCACCTGTCCCTTGGAAAATCTGACTTGGCTACGGTGGTCCACGCTCTGGTTACATCCATGCTCTGGTTACATATCTCCTGTTACGAACCATCACGAAGCTTAGGACCATCAGAGGAGGCCCTGCTCTCGATCCCACCACTCTCACAAATGCGGTTGGTGGGGAAGAGAGACAGGGCCTTCTTGGCAGTGACGCCCCTTCCTAAGGACATCAGAATGGCCACCTCCCTCCTGTCATTTAGAAGACAATTGAAGACTTGGCTTTGGGACCAGGTGTTCGTCTAGTGGACAATTGGAAGGAAAGTTAGTACATATGTGACATTGGATTTACTCAACTTGGTCTTGGTTTTACCTGGCATCTTAATTTATTGTTTAACTAGCCGCCCCCTGCCACGCATTGCTGTGGCCCTGTCTGTGTATATGTGTTTTATGTGTATATATATGTGTGTGTGTATGCGCATATATGTGGTTTTGTGTATGCGTTGTAATGTAATTTTTATTTTTTGTCTTTTAAAGTCTCTTCTGCTGTGTTTTTCAGTGTTTTTATGAGTGATGGTCACTCAGTGGCCTGAGAGGTGAATTATGTCCAAATTTGGTGTCAATTCGTCCAGTGGCTTTTGAGTTCTGTTAATCCTCCAAACGAACATTACATTTTTATTTATATACTAGCCATCCCCTGCCATGCATTGCTGTGGCCCAGTCTGGAAAATAAAGTAATGAGAAAGTATTGGTTTCTAATATATGTAATTTCTTTGTGTTTGTGGGTAAATAGCATTTCTTGCTGTTTCTTTGTCAGTGTTGATGTGGAGAGTGTCTGGTTTGTCCACCCTGGAACATGTAACATATCATTGACCTTCTTTAAGGGTCCCTTTCAAATCTATGATACTATATCTGTGTGTGTGTGAATCATACCTACCTACCTACCTACCTACCTATCTATCTATCTACCTATCTACCTACCTACCTATCTACCTACCTACCTATCTATCTATCTATCTATCTATCTATCTATCTATCTATCTATCTATCTATCTAATCTATGGTTGGATGGCTCTTTGTCAGGAGGACTTTGATTACATTTTCTTACCCTTATGAAGGGAGTTGAATGGCCTTAAGTATTTTCTGTTGGTCATTGGGGTTCTGTCTGGGAAGTTTGCCCCAATTCTGTCATTCGTGGGATTCAGAGTGCTCTTTGATTGTAGGTGAACTGTGACTTCCAGTGACTACAACTCCCAAATGTCAAGGTCTATTTCCCCCAAACTCCACCTGTGTTCATATTTTGGTGTATTGTGCCAAGTTTGGTCCAGATCCATCATTGTTTGAGTCCACAGTGCTCTCTGGATGTAGGTGAACTACAACTCGTTCGAATAATTCGTGCAATGATTGGTTAATGAACATTGGAATGGAACAATGGATGACGAATCTGGAACATGTTTTTGATGATGAGTAGTAACTGTTTATTAATTGTGTAATGTGTTAGGTTGTTAACTGTTTTTATACTGTAGCACTGAATTTTTGCTGTTCGTATTTGTTGTGAACCGCTGTGAGTCGCCTTCGGGCTGAGAACAGCGGTATATAAGTAAGGTATATATATATATATCTCTCCAAAACTCAAGGTCAATGCCCACCAAACCCTTCCAGTATTTTCTGTTGGTCATGGGTGAACTGTTTGATTCAATTCCATTGTTGATGGAGTTCAGAATGCTCTTTGATTGTAGGTGAACTATAAATCCCAGCAACTACAACTCCCAAATGACAAAATCATAATTTTTTGAGTGATGGTCACTCCTTGTGTTGTGAGACGTTTTGTTGCCAAATTTGGTGTGATTTCGTTCATTGGTTCTTTTGTTTTTAAGGTACTCATTATGCACAGAGCATTTATATATATAAGATGAACTTGGTAATGTATCTGTATAATGATTTTTTTTTTACTGTTTTGATTGTAACCCTTGTTGTTTATGTTGACAGCATCACAGGGTGATTATGTCGATCCCGCCTGCAACTCAGGCACGGTTGGTGGGGACGAGGGACAGGGCCTTCTCGGTGGTGGCCCCTCGGCTGTGGAACGCCCTACCCACAGACATCAGATCGGCTCCCTCATTAATGGCATTTCAGAAGAAAGTGAAAACCTGGTTATTCGAACAGGCGTTGGAATAGGCAGTTCAATGAATTACAATGAATTATAGGAAATCGGAACAACTGATGACGAGCTTGGATTATGATTTTAGTTATGAGACGCTAGTGAGTTGTTTATTGATGGTTATTGATGTTAATTGCTTAGTGTATTATTGTGTTAATTGTTTTTTAAATGGCTGTATGATGTTTGCATTGAATTTTTGCCGCTGCTTGTTGTTAACCGCTCTGAGTCGCCTAATGGCTGGGAAGAGCGGTATACAAATAAAGTAAGTAAATAAATAAATATGTTAGGCCTCCCTGAATCCCCCTTTTGGGGGGAGAAAGGCGGAGTAGAAATGCATGTAATAAATAAATAAGTAAGTAAATTGTGGAATAGTGGGAGCTGAAGTCCAAAACACCTGGAGGGCCGAAGTTTGTCCATGCCTTCGCAATCGAAACCAAGTTATGTAGGCGACGCTCCCCTTTGTCTTGCAAGAGCAGAGTCCCTGCGGGAGGCGCTCTCCGTCCCTTTGCCTTCAGGTTTCAGCACCCTGGAGAGCTCCTCCGCCTCCTGGCCCCTGGTGCGCTGTGGCCAACCCGCGGGGGCTCCTCTGCCTCGTTCCCTTTCGCCTTCTTCTTCTTCTTCCCTTTCCCCACAATCTGGCGACCGGCGAGCGCCACCTTCCCGGCGGTGGCCACGTGAGGCCGGCGAGGGCGGGAGGAGGAGCCGCCAGGAAGGCAGCAAAAGCGAAGGAGGAGGAGAGAGAAGGGAGACAGGCAAGGAAGGAAGGAAGGGAAGCAGCAGAGGCAGCTGCTCAGCAAGCCAGCGAGTGAGCGAGCGAATGAATGCGGGGCTGCCTCTGATCGCCATGCCTTCCCTCCTCCTCCTTCTCCTCCACCGCCAGGGACCCTTCTGCCGCCCCTTGGTGTCTCTTGGCCCCCTTTCCGCCTGAGGCTCCCCTTTCCCCATCCCCTCTCCCCCCAGACACAGCAGCCTCTCCTCCTCCTCGTCCGAATCCTTCCTCCTCGCCCGCCGCCAGCATGTCCCGGCGCAAGATCTCCTCGGAATCCTTCAGCTCGTTGGGCTCGGACTACCTGGAGACGAGCCCCGAGGAGGAGAGCGAGTGCCCGGTGGCCCGCCTCTGCTGGAATGGCAGCCGCAGCCCCCCGAGCCGCTCCGGGGACGCCGCGCCCGCCGCCCCGCAGGCACAGAAGGGCTCCGAAGGCGCCGCCGCCACCTCCGCCGCGGCCTCGGGGTCCGCCATCCCCGCCTCGGGAGGCTCCCGCCGGGCTCCCCGCCGGAGGAGGGCCAACCTGGACTCCTTGGGGGAGAGCATCAGCCGCCTCACCGCCCCCACGGTAATCAGGCAGGGAGAGGGGGAGGGAGACGAAGGGGGAGACCAAGGAGGAGGGGAAGGGCGACACCTTCGCACGTGTTACGCGTTCGCAAGGAGGGGAGGGGGTTTCGTAACGTTGGAAGCGGCCCTTCCTCCGCTCCCCGCCTCAGAGGTTGACTCACCACCCAAAAGGAGTGCGTGGGGAGGGGTCGTTACGCTCTACTTCCCAACGACCCCCCAAATCTGCATTTTAAGACATGGCTTGCCAAAACGGTTCACCTCTCTCGTATTGCTTTTGCCCCCCCCCCCCCCCAATTTGGGCTCTAGCCTTGAACCAATTCAACCAATTCAACACTTTGACTTCTGGATTGTTGTAGGTTTTTCGGGCTATATGGTCATGTTCTAGAAGCATTATCTCCTGACGTTTCGCCTGCATCTACGGCAGGCATCCTCAGAGGTTGTGAGGTCTGTTGGAAATTAAGAAAATTGGGTTTATATATCCGTGGAAAGTCCAGAGTGGAAGAAAGAACTCTTGTCTGCTGGAGCTAGGTGTGAATGTTTCAATTGGCCACCTTGATTACCACTAACAAGCCACACCGGTTTCTATATCTGTGGAAAGTCCAGGGTGGGAGAAAGAACTCTTGTCTGTTGGAGCTAGGTGTGAATGTTTCAATTGGCCACTTTGATTAGCACTAACAAGCCACACCAAAAAACCGCCAGGCTACCAAATGCTAATCAAGGTGGCCAATTGAAACATTCACACCTAGCTCAAACAAACAAGAGTTCTTTCTCCCACCCTGGACCTTCCACTTATATTAACCCCATTTTCCTAATTCCAACAGACCTCACAACCTCTGAGGATGCTTGCCATAGATGCAGACAAAACATCAGGAGAGAATGCCTCTAGAACATGGCCATATAGCCTGAAAAACCTACAACCCAGTGATTCCAGCCAAGAAAGCCTTCAACAATAGTAGGACTTCTGCTTCCCTTTTTTCCCATTTGGCCTTTAGAATACACTTTTTTAAAAAAGAGCTGGGGTTCAAAAGTTCCCAGGTTCAGCTGTGAAACTCTGGGTGCCCCCCTCACATCGCTTTTGAACACATAGTAAAGGTCAAGGTTTTCCCTGACATTAAATCTATTTGTGTCCGACTCTGGGGGTTGGTGCTCATCTCCATTTCTAAGCCAAAGAGCCGGCATTGTCTGTAGACACTCCAAGGTCATGTGGCTGGCATGACTGCAAGGAGTTCTATTCCCTTCCCACATAAGTGGTACCTGTTGATCTACTCACATTTGCATGTTTTCGAATTGCTAGGTTGGCAGAAGCTGGGGCTAACTGCGAGAGCTCATGCTGCTCCCCAAATTCGAACTTGAGACCTTTCAGTCAGCAAGTTCAGCAGCTCAGCGGTTTAACCCACTGTGCCACCGGGAGCTCCTGGAATAAATATTATTTAAGAACTTGGTTTTGAAAGTTCCCAGGTTTAGGAGTAACTTGAGAAACTGCAAGTCACTTCTGGTGTGAGGGAATTGGCTGTCCGTAAGGACATCCCAGATGTTTTGATGTTTTGCCATCCTCATAGGAGGCTTCTCTCCTGTCCCCGCATGGGGAACTGGAGCTGACAGAGGGAGCTCAACCCATTCTCCCCAGATTTGAACCACTGCCCTGTCAGTCAGCAATCCTGGCACAAGGGTTTTGTACAGACATACACACAAACAAATTGGGCTCTTGTACGCAATTGAAGGGTCTCCTGATGATGCAGTGGGTTAAACTGCTGAGCTCTTGAACTTGCTGACCAAAAGGTCAGCGGTTCAAATCTGGGGAGCAAGGTGAGCTCTCGCTGTTAGGCCCAGCTTCTGCCAACCTGACAGTTCAAAAACATGCAAATATGAGTAGATCAATAGGTACTGCTTCTGCAGGAAGGTAAGGGCACTCCATGCAGCCATGCTGGCCATATGGCCTTGGAGATGTCTATGGACAATGCCTGCTCTTTGTCTAAGAAAGGAGATGAGCATCAACACCCAGAGTCCAACATGACCAAACTTAATGTCAAGGGGAAACCTTTGCCTTTACTACCCAATTGAAAGGTTAATCTTAGAATCATAGAATTTTAGAGTTGCAAGGGACCACCAGGGCCACTTAGTCCAACCCCTTGCCATGCAGGAATAGACAGTCAAAGCAATGGCAACAGATGGTCACCCAGTCTCTGCTTTAAACCTTCAAATAGGGAGACTGCACCCTTCCAGGCAGCATATTCCATTGCCTAACAATACTTGCCATCAAGAAATTCTTCCTAATCTTTGTTCCCAAAATTTGAATCCCTTGCTCCATGCTTGGAGCAGCAGGAAAGAAGCTTGCCCCCTCCTCAATGTGACATACTTTCCAATATTTAAACTTGTTGGAATAAATATTTAAAATTGGTTCTTGAACCTAATTGTAAGGTTAATGTTCACCAGTTTGGTCTCTGCTCCCCCTCTCCCTCTCTCCCTGGCCTTTTGTGCCCTTTAGTTGAGATACAAGGATGATTCTTTGGTCCCGTCTTTCTGTTTCCATCCCCTCTGAATTACTCTGTTCATCCCTAAAAGGACAGAGACTTCCCTGACATTTTAAATCACCTTATTTGAGAATAAATCTTCAAATGAGACAGGAGATCTCCCTGCTTTATGCCGCAGGTTGCCTGACCTCCTATAAGGAATGTTGCTGTGGGTCCTAACATCCTTTCTCATCCACCTGTAGCCCTCTGATTCCACACCTGTTTGTTCCTCCTGAATGGATATGTGTGTGAATGAGGGGAACTGTACTTTGGTTATATAACCTTTCTGCAAGATTCTTAGAATCATAGATTTGGAAGCGATCACAAGGGCCATCCATTCCAACCCCCTGCCATGTAGGAGAACACAATTAAAACACTCCTGACAGATAACCATTCAGTGTCTGCTTAAAAAAAACACACAGAGAAAGAGACTTCACCACTCTCCAAGTTGGCATATTCCACTTCTGAGCTACTCTTACTCTCAAAATGTTCTTCATAATGTTCAGGTGGGATCCTTTTCCCTGCAATTGGAACCTATTGCTCCCTGTCCTGGTCTCTAGAGCAGCAGAAGACAAGCTTTCCCCCTCCTCAGTGTGACATCCTTTCAGATATTGAACCATGAACCATGGCGATCATGTCTCCTCTCAGCCTTCTCCAAGCTAAACATTTCCAGCTCCCTAAGCCTCTCTGTATAGGGTTTGTCTTACAGACATTTGATCATTTTGGTTCTCCTGCTTATTGTGTCTATTTTCCCCCATATAGATTCTTTAGAACTTTTGTCTTATTTCTTAAGATGGAAGTAATAGAATAGCAGCACCACGTAATTTGAGATATCGTGCTAGAGATCACAGGCTCAAAGGTTTAAAATGAACCACAAACATTGTCTAGTCCAACTGCATACCACACAGCAATAGACAACTGAAGCAACAGCAACAATTGGCCACTCAACTTCTATTCTAAGGTCTCCAAAAAGGCTGAGTCTACTGCTTTCTTGGGCACTCCATTCTACTCTTGAATACTGTCCAAGATGGTATTCCTCATGATTATGAGGAGACCTCTTTCCTTGTAATATGAACCCATTGGTTTGTGTTCTAGTCTCTGGCACAATAGAAAGAAAACTACTTGCTTTTATACCTGACATAGCTTAAAATATTTGAAGATGGCTATCATGCCATCTCTTTACCTTCTCCCTACAAAACATACCAATTTCACCATGCAGTTCCTCATAAGGTATGCTGTCAAGATCTTCTTGGTTGCTCTCTTCTAGAGATCTTGTCAATATCTTATTTGAACTGGGTACCAGAACAGGATACAGTTTTCTAGGTGAAGTCTTATCAAATCGCTACCATTTCTCTTGAAATATTATACTATACTTTGCTCCTGTTGATGCAGGACAGAATTACACTGGCTTTTTCACCTACTACTATCACATCATTGACTCATGGTTAACTTGACATCTAAATATAATGCTAGATCCTTTTCACATGTACTGTCTTCAAAGTAGGTGCCAGCCTCTCTATGATTGTTGTTGTGCCTTCATGTCATTTCTGGCTTATGGTGACTCTTAGATGGTCTTCTTGGCAAGATTTGTTCAGAAAGAGATTGTTTTTGCCTTCTTCGGGGACTTGGAGACTGTGACTCATCCAAGGTTACCCAGTGGATTTTCACAGCTGCGTGGGGATTCTCGTCTCATAATCTAGCGCTCAAGTCACTGCTCCTCACTAGCTTTTTTCTATATATATGCATTTCATTTTTTCTCCCAAACATGTACTGTGCATTACATTTATCAGCATTGGCATTCCCAGTTATCTAACAGTTTTGAATTCTTGATATTCCAATTTGAATTCCGAGCCTTCTCTGGGCTATTAGCTAACTACAACTCCGAGTCTGGTATCTTATGTAGATACGACTTCCTGCATATTTTGGTTCATCTGGAAGAACCTAAAATAACTTGGGAAAATAGGAATGTGCCACCATACCCCATATTCCAAATTAGCCCTGGGGGGGGGGGGATTACCCTGGAATGTCCATGCCATGAAATAACAACAAATTGCATAATAATAATAATAATAATAATAATAATAATAATAATAATAAATCTGGGACTTCCAAATTCAGATTAACAGAGTTTTGGGGCACAATACTCCTAACCTCATGATCATGTTAAAAAAACAAAGTATGGATTGTCGATGTTGCAATCCCAGGTGACAGCAGGATTAAAGAGAAACAACTGGAAAAGCTGACACAATATGAGGATTTAAAGATCGAACTGCAAAGAATCTGGCACAAGCCAGTAAAGGTGGTCTCAGTTGTGATTAGCACACTGGGTGCAGTGCCTAAAGACCTTGGCTTGCACTTAAACACAATCGGCGCTGACGAAATTTCTAGCTGCAGAAGGCCACCTTACTGGGATCTGCACGCATTATTCACTGATACATCACACAGTCCTAGAAACTTGGGAAGTGTCCAATGTGTGATCCAATACTACAGC